GATTAGTTGAAGCTCAAATGAAGAGAATGAGGCTGAATTAACAAGTCTGCAGGAGTAACCATCTTTAAACACGGCCGCTAATCCACCACCTCTGCGCGCTTCCCGAGGTGTTGCGAGGACAGAAAAGTTACCTGGACAGAGTTCCCGCAGATGAATATACTGCAGTCTTTGCTGCCATGTTTCAGTTAAAAACAGAAAGTCCTTCATGACAAGTTCATTCAAGGCAAAAGACTTGTTGTTGATGGAGTGCGCGTTGAGGAGGCCCATGTGTATGGCAAGCCGTTGGGGCCATAAATCGGGCGTATATTTGCGTGCAAATCCTAACGCGCGGTGCCGTAATTGATGTGCGAACGCGCGGTGACGTTAAATGACGTGCGGTGGTGTTTTCTAACCTAACCCTAACCCACCGCGCGTTCTCACGTTATTTAACGCCACCGCTCGTGGGGCTACCACGCGTTCGCAGGTTATTTACGGCATCGCACGTGGGGCTACCGCGCGTTAGGATTTGCACGTAAATATACGCACCGCGCGTTAGGATTTGCACGTAAATATACCTGCAATATACATGCAAATCCTAATGCGCGGTGACGTAAATAACGTGCGAACGCGCGGTGGCCCCACGCGCGGTGCCGTAAATAACGCGCGAACGCGCGGTGGGTTAGGTTAGAAAACGCAACCGCACGTTATTTAACGCCACCGCGCGTTCGCACGTTATTTACGGCACCGCACGTGGGGCCACTGCGCGCTCGCACGTTATTTACGGCACCGCGCGTTAGGATTTGCACCTAAGTATACGCCCGATTTATGACCCCAACAGCTTGCCATACATGCGCAGCGATGACAGCTCCGCAGCTGATAGCGGCACGTAGGTTAAACAGCGCACTTCAGATGGATGATTTAGACGAGTAGATCTCTGGTGAATAATATGACGACATCCATCGTTGTAAGTTAGCCGATTTATGGTGGTTAACGGGCAGGTGGTGGTCCGCGCTGGCCAGGCTTCAGGTGACGTGTCAGACTCCCAGCTGGAGGACGCAGGTAGACGCTGAAGACAGCGAGAAACTCCCCACTTCCCAGCGAGTCTACGGTACAGTCTTAAACACACCTGGACGCCAGCTCTGGATCCCCTTTTTCGCTTTTTGCGTCTGGAACTTTGCAGGAGACACTCAGGTGAGCAGCAAACAAACGGAGGTGGAAAACTCCCTCTGAAGCTGCTCCAGCTGTCACACTTCATCAACGACTCTCTGATCGCCATCAGCGCATCCCGATCATAAACACGGGCAGCAGAAATGACAACGTTTTTATCCAGACTAATAAAAGCTAAATAATACAAAAATAAAAGCACAGAAGATATGCGCAAGGGGGTAAACCAGGTCTTCTCAGATGAAGACAGGTCTTCTCAGATGAAGACAGGTCTTCTCAGATGGACAGGTCTTCTCAGATGGAGACAGGTCTTCTCAGATGGACAGGTCTTCTCAGATGAGGACATCCTGTGAAGGACACTCGGAGGATGAATGAACTTGTATCAACAGACAGACACACAACCTTTGTTTACTGTTTATTACAAAACAAAAGACAAAACAACTAACTGGGTTTTTCTATCAGCAAACACGACACAATGACAAACCTTCAATCTGTGGCCAGAAGCTTGGCTCCACCTGGAACCAGAACCAGAACCAGAACCAGAACAAAGCAACACAACATGGAGCTAAATGCTGCGCAGTGACAGAACGGCACCTTTCAGGAACACAAACTGAAACATGGAGCGCGGGGGGTGTGGGGGTCCACCAAGTGCTCAGTCATCTACAGGTGTCCAGGTGTGCAGGTGGGGCAGAGGCTCACACGCCTACAACACTTTTATAAATAAATCACCATTAACTTAAAATCATCACACCATTAAAACAAAGTGCCAACAAGCAGGAAACAGAGAGAAGGGGCGGGGCTTCAAGTCTGTCTGCGTTCACCTCCACGTGTCTGTCAGGTGACTCTTCTACCAGCACTGACACTCTGAACGGCTGCTTGTCACTTCCTGTCTGCTGTTACCATGGTAACAACCCCCTTTTCTGCCATTTAAATTAGTCATTTTCTACAAACTCTTCAAATTTATAAATAGGTGCAGTTTTGTGACGGAACAGGAAGTGCAGCAGGGTGATGGCACAGGATTTAAATATGGCTGCCAACTCTTCTGCTCCAGCTTTACATCTTCAGCCAATCAGAACGCTGCGTTTCAGCCAATCAGAACGTTGAGTTTCAGCCAATCAGAAGCCTCCACCAGGCTGCTGATGTGCAGCAGGAGCACTGATCAGAACTGGAAGCCAGTGATCAGTTATCAGATGTTTTGATTTGTCTCCAGATGTTATTGTTGATCAATAAACAGTTTGTTGTTCAGTTTCCAATCAACAACCAGCTGATGATCAATCAAACCTTTGTCTGCTTGTTGTTTATCTTTGAACAGCTGATCTCTGAATCAGTTATTATTAATCAGAACAGGAAGTGCAGGTGTTCGTAATGTTGGGACTGTTTCCCATGATGCTTTGCAATCTGAGGTCAGAATGTGAGTGAACATATTGACAGCTGAAAGTGTGGCAGCAGGGGGCGGGGCTTAAACAAGCAGGGGGCGGGGCTTAAACAGATGGTTAAACTTTAAATCTACTATTTTTAATTAGGAGCAGAAAGCAGGTGGTCACTTCTGACCATATGTGGACCCCCCAGAGGAACCAACCAGGTCCTGAAACCTGACAACCAGAACTCCCAACAAGTCCAGAACAGTTCTGATGTGAACCTCTGCAGAACTGCTCACATCAGTCCACGCTGATCCAGAACCAACCCAGAACAGGTCCAGGACCAGTTAAGCCCAGTTCGGAGCTGGGCGGCCTCACTCAGAGTCGGACTCGAGCGGAGCGGTCTCATCCACCTCGGGTCGGTTCTGCAGCGTGGTGGTGCGGGCCCGCAGCTCGTTCTCCAGGTGGGCCTTCTTGTGGCGTGAGAAGCTGGAGGAGTGCATGAAGGTCTTGTTGCAGGCTGCACACGTGTACGTCTTGCTCTTGCAGGGGGAGAAGGCCGTCTGGATGTGGCCGGCGCCGTCCGACTCCCGGTGAGTCTGCTGGTGCCGGGCCAGGCTGGAGGCGTGGCTGAACTCTTTCCCACACTGGCTGCAGACGTGGGGCCCGGCTTCCGCTCCGCCCTCGGTGTCGTCCTCGGAGGAGGCGGGGCCACGCTTGCCGAGGCGGCCTCCGCGGCGGCGGCGGTTCTTCTTGCACAGGGTGTAGAAGTTGGGCTTGTCACCAGAGCAGAGCTTGAGGCGGATCTTCAGGTCGGAGGAGGTCTCGCCCAGGTTCTCCTTGCCTGGCGTGTAGCTGTCCAGCAGCTCCTTGACGTGGCTCACCTGGTGTTTGGACAGCTGCGTGGACGTCCTGAAGCTCATGTCGCACTGCGGGCAGGCGTAGAACTTATCACTGCTCTGGATGATGGCGGTGGCCACGTGCTTCTGATGCTGCTGCTGCCTCTTGCTCTTCTTGTTCTTGCTGCCCATCTTCAGCGTGTGGCGCAGGGCAGCCATGTTGGAGCCCAGGCTGGCCTCTTTGGGCATGCCTTGTCCCTTCTTGTGGATGAGGCGATGGCGGGACAGGCTGGAGCTGTGGTTGAACTCCTTCCCACAGATGTTGCACGGGTGGATGCGCCGCTTCCCATGCAGCCTCAGGTGGCTCCCCAGCATCCTGACAGGTAAACAGACAGGTGAGACCGCTTTAGTCCCGCCCACAAAACTATCACCCTGATATACACACAAACCCTCATAACTTTGTTTCCTTCAACATTGACCTGTTTAGACCCAAGTGTTCTCTGCTCAGACCTCTGGGCTCCCACAGAAACATGTTTACACATAAACAAACATGTTTACACATAAACAAACA